ATAAATTGTCAGAAAATGTAAAAGACAAATGTTTTGAAGAACCATTATTCCTTTAGGTTATGAATGTATGCATTGTGGGACTGATGAAGCTAGCAATGGGTTCTGAAAAGTGGTTCTTGCATTACCCAAATCAACTAATTATAAAACAACCTCCAAGACGTTATGATCCAGGGGAAGGTAGCGATGTACTGTATTGACCTTTATGGTGCATTTTAAATTAAAAACTAAACATAATTGACAAAAGAAGGTGTAATGAAAATGCAATAACAATAATGATTAGTTTGGGCTTTAAACCTGCAAACTACAGATACATTTGAATGTAAGGTGACCTGATCCATAGAAGAACCAGATATGAATGCTTAGTGTAACAAAACCTTCATTGTGGATCTGTAAATCACATTGTAGAACCTTTTCCTTTAAGCTTTTTATTTTATTTTGAATTATTGCATCATTAATAAGCACTGCACTAGTGTCTTTGCAGTATATTTTCCTTCATTTCGTCAATAATTATTTAAGTGCCTTGTGAATTAAGAATACTGATTGTGTATACTGATCCTCTTTCTTCGGTCAATAATGAATTGAAACAGATGTTTTGACACAACATTAGATGAGTTTAACACTCATGCGAGCCATGCGATCAAGATCATATGTTCACAATGAAGGATTTACACTTTCAGAAATTGATTAAATGATCTGAGCATTAAGATGAACTCTATGATGATTACCTATCATAAGTTATACATCTCAATGACCTCTGGTGGCCTTTGGCTGATTCCTACAGGTCATGACACATCAGCTGGGTTTGAACTATAAGTTTTAGATTCAGTTTTCAATATTAGAACATAGTTATACTAAATGTGGAGCATTAGCATCAGCATCAGTACTTTAGCAGCATTGTTTTTGCTAGTTGTTGACAAAGCTAACGGCTGCTAACAGAGCCCTGCTTGCATATACTTACATAATGTAAATAATCTCCTGCTGGGCCTACTTAAGTATTATTGTGATTTACGCAACTCTGCCTACGTTGTTCTTGATAAAAGCCTGGTGCATTTGCATGAAATATAAGAGATGCTGTCTTCACTAGAGAGGCTGTCAGTGTCAAAGTCACACAGAAGACATTGGTAACTGTGCAGAGGATGCTAACCGGCTAGCTAGTTAGCCGGGGAAAGTCTCTGTTTGTGACTTTGTTTCAGAAGCAGGGATGAAGCACCACGTGTGAAACTGTAAACAACACTTACGTGGTTCCATATGTCTGAAGGGGGATGGCTGCCCCGACTCGGTTTTCCAGTCTGTCTCAGGAAACATCTCGCTAAACAAGCCGGAGTCACCCCGCTCCTGATGGCAGCCATGGAGGAACATAGAAGCTGCTACGGCAAGCCGGAGGTCTCAATTCTCCCGGCGCGCAGCTACACGCTTCGCCCATGTTTTTTTAAATATATTTTAATATCAATAATACGTAATTACATTCCTTGTACACAAACAAAATAACTAAAACAAATACTTTAATAAATCAACATTTAAAAAAGCTAACATTAAGGTTTCAGAAAATGATGTGAATAAGAATGAAAGACGGATGCAAAATTCTATGGGAAATGACAACAAAACAAAATAAAACACAAATTAAAGGGTTATTATTAATGATACAGAGGTAATAAGAATCGAGACTTAGTACCACTGATCTATTGTGATCAAGATTAAGCAAAAACAAGAACATTCTACATTATGAAAGAAAAACAAAATGCATATAAAGCACTTCACATCATGTACTGTCTAGAATTAAAACACATATACAGCAGGTTATCCATACATTACAAAACCACATATCTAATGTGAGAGGACGCCACCATCTTCTTCTCTTTTTATACATATCAAATATTTCACTCAAGTCATGAAGTTAGATAACTACATGAAGCCAGACAAGGGTAACAGGTTGTACTTTCCAATGGTGAATGTGGCATCAGGTATCAGGTGCAAAATCCCCACAGCAGAGGGCAGTGCAGCAGCTTTTATCTGACCTGTGTGATTCACTATTTTGGATCCAAATGTAAGCAACAAACTCCCTTGAGGCATTGTAGAGTGTTTTCAACCTTTAAAAAGCTGTTTGAGAATCATCTGACTGATTTCGTGCATTTTTAATAACAAACGTATCCTGGTTCAGTTTCTTAGGCCCATTGAAGACAGAATTTTCACAATAAAAGACACCTTTCTGATTCTTTGTGGTCAGGTGGGAATTGAACCCTCAGTCTACTGGGCCACAGTTTTTAACAAGTGAGCTATGAGGAACCTGCCCCAAATGTGTGACATGAATGGAGTCCATATACCAGACGGACAGCTTGTCATTGTGAATATACATCAGTGTGAACTTTTTAAATGAACATGTTAGGTATGATAAGTATGTAAATGTGAAGTTTCTGCTGATTTCACCCTGGTTCTATGAGCTATGTGCCATGAAGACGGTCGGGGGAGACCGCCTGAGAACGCACTGACGTGGGTTCGAAACCTGCCAGAAGACGCAGTGACTGGAGGTATGTCACTCAAATGTGTGTGAAGAGTGTGCGTACGTTCTGCTCAAGTAAATGTACATGTCAATTCAAAACCTTGCGTTCACGTTTACACGTATTTCAACTTGCGAATTTCATCAGCATCCAAGAAGGAAGCAACAGCTCATTGTTACTCAAACATAAATCAATTTTGGGCCCAATTGGTTGAGATAGCTTGACGGGCATTTTTGGCTGTTTTACTTGTTTTAACACTTTAATTGCAGTCAGCAGGATGATCGTACTGATGATGATAGAGGAGATGATCATGTGACCTTGACCTGTATATCACACATACTGCAAACCTGCCTTATATGGACTTTTATAATGGATCATCGCATGGAGATAAAGACTAGGTGCACTTTAAAAGAGGTGCACCCATATGGTGAACATTGTTATTGGTTAATGTTCAATATATTCCTAGCAGCCATAGCATCTGATGAGAACAATAATTTCACCATACTTAAGATATTAAGAAGCTGCTCAGACATGATGCACTACTGTATAAATCCCTTCATAATTCGTTTATTGTATTAACAATCATCAGCATGGTGATTTATATGGAACACTTGGTATACTACACTGTGGCTGTTTTATCTTGTCGGTGTCACGTGAATTCCCCTAAATGTGCTTCGGACTAAAAGTGAAAATGAAAGAGAAGACTGAGTCATTTAGGGAAGGGTGGAGGCTTCCTGTGTGATTGTTGAAGATATGTTTTGCCTCTTTCTGACAAACAAGCTTTGAGTTTATATATGTGTGAAGGGTTCTTTCAAAGTATTTATCATATGATCTCGGGTGAGAAACAGTAGTGCAGATGGGGGTTGTCATTACAAGATTCTGCTCCAAAAACAATGAATATTAGGAGAAAGATATTTATTTCAATAAAATATTATTTACATATTATCTTTTGCATGTCTATTGGATTTATTCGATCCCTCTTCTGTTGACCTTCCTGAAGTTTTTCTTTTGTTTTGTTTTCCTGATAAACAACAAAGTCTTTTGTGATTTTAGTAAATAGTTTTAAAGATAACAAGCCTGTATGGGACAATATGAGGGGATTTCTGCAGCATCATAACATGTAAATGTGAAGTTTCTGCTACCTCAGTCTGGTCTTTATTTCTCTCTGGTTCTATGATCTATGTGCCATGAAGACGGTCCAGTGGGAAAGGACATCGCCTCAAAACACAGAGACGAGGCTTTGAATCCTGCCAGAGGACACAGTGACTGGAGGTATGTCTCTCAAATGTGTGTGAGGAATGTGTGTGTGGTCTGCTTCAACCAAGGCTGACAGGCAGGTAGGCCATCCAGTTATTTTAGCCGGGTCGGCTAAAATGACTGGTCGTACTTTTTACAGTATTACGGCTTCCACAGATGACATTTCTTTATGGATTTTTTGTCAAAGCACTTAAGATATTCATTGCTATCGGGATGTTAAGAGCATTCCATGGAATATAACAAAAAGTGTATCTCGAGCCGGTTTCTCAAACTTACCTACCCCACCTTTAATAAAGCAACGTTTGTGTATAACGTCAAAAGAATACTACCTTCTCCCAGTATCCGTCTGAACAATCAGAGTTTAATAAATGATAAAAATAATGTAAACATTTTTTTTAAATCTAGGAGGAAAATGACGTTCCTAAATCTGTTAACTTCATTACATCATTATGTCTGCTTCAACTTTTCAAACACTCTATTCACTCGACATGTATAATATTTATAAGAGTTTATTGAAAATGTATTTCGAAATAGAAAATATTGGCCTCCAAAAGTAAACATATTATCATTATTATAAGGGAAAAAACAACAATAGAATCGTTTAACACATAAGACAAAAATGTAAGATAAAATCTGCATGCAAAACCTAAGGATAATCATTCATGATCAAGCATCCTTTAATTTATAAAAAATAGGTTCAAAGCAGACTCAATCCATCTGGGATTTGCTGGATTAAAACATTACATGTCAGGTGAGAACGCAAAACCATTTCTTACATCATTACTGTGGGGGAAACTTCTGTGTAGCAATGCAGTGGGAGTCACCGACTCAGGAAGGAGACACGGTGAGAGCTGGATCTTTGATGTCAAACACTGATGGGTTTATTCAGAGTATCGGCCGGAGGATTCACATCACAAGTCAAAGAGTCAGAGGTTCTGACTTCACGGGAGAGTTGCCACGTCAATTCTCAAGAGCCTCTCTCTATGTTAGACCTTTTAACTGGTTCACAGAGAGTAATCAACATCTCTGAAGGAGTAGACTAAACAGCTGGGAACACTGAATCACTTGCGTCCAACACTTATGGCCTCAAAGATTTCACACCTTAGAGTCCACAAACACCGATAAAGAAGTGCCTCAGCGCTCTCACAACAATTACCATTCGTGCCAGACAAGTTGACCGGTCACAAACTGGTAACAACAACACATATGGCACCAATGCCTTTCCTTAAAGGAGATAACAGACGTCAGAGTAGATCATAAAACGTCACAGAGCAAAAGGTTAGATATCTAGAAGAATTATTCCTTAACAATTACATTACATGAAGGACTTACATGGTTTGCTGAATGTGGTTTTAACCTTACAGGAAAACGTATACATTTAAAAAAATATGACTGGTCCAAGTGTAAGGGCAAGAGCTATGATTAAACATGAAGGTGCAAAAGCTATATTTTATAGAACCCCTACAGAGACATTTACATGACTATTTCCCCATTGTAATCGTTTCAGTCATTTGTTTTCTTGAGGCACAATGTACGTTTAGTCTAAAAAATGATTTCTCTACAACATTCACTTCTTTCCCTTTAGCTCATCAATGAGAAATTTCTCCTTTTCCTCAAGGATTCTGTAGAAGACTTCTTTGCCACAAGGCCCTGCTGCATTCAGGGGACCATTGAAGAGTTTCCTCATCTTCTGCTGATTGGTCCGGATTGCCATGATTTTATCATAACTCGATTGTATCATGACTTTTTCCTCAAGGAGCTTATCCAAAATGTCTGCAACGCAGCATACTCTGTTGATCAGCTCGGTTCTATGTTTATCCACAAAGTGCTCACCTGAGGAAGGAGGGAATAATGAGGAAAGTGTTGATGATACCATGAAGCCAACTTGATACATTTCTAAACAAATATTTTATTTTCTATCACAGTGACTTCCTTATTTTCAATGTACATGTATGTGTATTGCATTAGTTTAACTGCATGTGGGTCCGTGGAAGGTTGGTTTAATAATTTGGGATAACACAAACCTGATGCATATTCTGTGTTTTACAGAAATTGTTAATTATTTTTGGGAATAGTGGATTGATCATTTTGCCATCGAAGCACATCTGAAATAATAAGGGCTTCTAACAATTACAAATTTGTTTTCTCCAAATGCAATTAAATAAACCTCTCACATCTTCTGCTTTGATGATGGGACATGCAAATATTGATTGAGAAAAAAAGGTTGAAATGTCTCAACATCAGAATTGTATCTTTCTCTTCGTATAAGGCAAAGAAAGAACCAAAAAATAATATTTCCCCAAAGTGTCAAATTATTTCTTTAAAAACAATGCAGCACTTATCGGTTTCTTACATTGGTCTATAGCCTAGACTTTATTTAGAACATGTAAAGCCTTTTCTAAATATTCATCATGAAGTAAATTGCATGTATGTTTTATAGTCAGAGTCTGGGTTCCTAGTAAAATCTGATAAGTGACTGATCCACGGGGATCACAAACCAAAATCAAGTGTGCACCCACCGTCTACCATGGTGTATTGAGCTGTCTCTCCAGCTGAAGGTCTCGCAGCTGAAACAAATTGAGGGAAAATTACAATGATGCTGGATGATGGACAGGTTTAGTTTATGCTTTTTTTTCATGCACACAGCAACATAGCAAAATACGGTCATTCAATGTGTCAATGAGACATGCACTGTCATTGGTTGCCAGTTTAATAGAAGACCTAAAACAATAAGACTGATGTTATTCTATATTCAACAAAATAAAAAGATTAAAATGTCTTAGTATAGGCCTATAGCTCAAATGAAGAACAAGCACACTAATGGCTGAATTATGGTTCTTCTAAGGCCACAATAACAGCTCCGGATAAAGTCGGAGGTAACTGGCAGAAGCACTAGGAGAGATCGAGTGTGGCCAGTTAGAGGAAAAGTAAAAGAAAAACAGTCGTCTTTTGAAACAACAATTTCAAGAGTGCATTACCATGTTAACCAAGATTTTTTTCTACTTTGTTTTGAAGTGAAAAAGAAGACATGATAATGCAGACGAGAAATGAAATGGATAGACTTGGACTTCTGCACTGACTTTCTCAATACAAATGTTGAAAAATCTAATTTCCCTCAGTTGCATTTTCACAAGTAGAACAAAGGTTTCACAAATCTAAAACTGTGCTATAAAGAATGTTGAGCCTCTCTGGGATAATCCAGTCCAGATTTGATGAGTCTAGGTATAGTGGTTTTGGATCAGGACCTGGTCTAATGTGGTCTAGATGCGAAAAAAGCAGCGAAATCTTTTTCTTTTCTTCACCGGGGACTCATCATCCACTAATCATTCCTCCAAATTACTGTGCTCTCCAAATATTAAAAGTAATGTTAAAATCCTCCATGTTAGTCTCACACGGTAGACAGCGGAAAAACGAAGGTTTTCAAACTGTTACATTTGAAAAACAGTTAAATCGACCGGACTTCTTTCTGCATATGTGAGCGTCCTTAACAATGGTCAATAAATCCTTGACAGCGGTCTTCACTAACAACGTGTCACGTGTTCTGAATTAACCAATTTGCTGCCCAGGCGAGATTTTTGCTATTTTTGTTATTCATTCATATTTTTGTTGTTCATTCATATCTTATTTTACCTAGTTAACATTCATTTATTTATGCATATTTTTTTATCTCTCCAGTTTTAAACGATATTTTTGGGAGTATACATTTAAATGATTTCAAACCTGTTTTCTGCTGCTCCGACTCTGAAGTCTGGTCTGCCTGTTTCCACAGTTTCCAACACGAAGTTGTTTTCTTTTTTTTTCCATTTCTGTTTTTCTCCTGTTGGGCATAATCACCTCTACTAATAATCACTTCCTCACCTATTTCTCCCGTTGCAAGTTGATTTTCAGCAGCCTGCTCTTGTGTGTCAGAGACTTTTGGCTTTTTTTCTGCATTTGAATCGATTGCACTGGTTGTCACATTGCCTTTGAATAAATTACCTATGTATCTCCAAAATGAGCCACAGTCTTGTTCCTGTGGCTCACTCAGCTTCATATCGGAAAGATTATCTGACAAGCGCTCCTGTTGTGCGGGTTTCTCACTGGTCTTTATTCCAATGATCTTCCTCTCAATACTTCTTTCTGAACCAAAGGAGGTTTCTTTAGTTTCTTCCTCATCTGTTTTCACAATTAATTGTTTACGAGAAGAGCCCCCTCTGTTTGGGAAAGGTTTGCGTTCCTGCTCTTTGGCTGGCCTTTCCTCATCAACATCTTTAGGATCTTGTGGAACACTTGTTTCCTGCTGTCTAACACCATCCAACCCTCTCCTGTCCTGATCCTCTCCTCCCTTACAAAGGTAAGGTTTTGTCATAGATGTTTCTGTCCTTTGTGCATGTTTGTCATCTCCTCTCTTTTGTTCCTTGGCTCCCTCTACATCCCTCCTATCCTCCCTTCTGCTTCTAGCTTCAAACCCCTGAAGGTCTTCTGACATGTTCTGTTTTCGACCATCAACTCTTCTATCCTCTATCAGAGGGGATGGATCAGGTTTTCCTTTCTTATCTACCTCAACATCTTTCTCTGTCCTCAACCCATCTCCCTGTTGCTCCACACCAGGGCCATGAGCTTGCTGCATTTGCTGTTGCCCCTCCAGATTGTCATGTTTAACATTTCCTAATCCTTCATGTCCATGGTGCTCTGTGTCCATGGAAAGGTTTATTCTCAAGGATGTGCCGCTCTGTTCTGACTGTTCATCTCCTCCACTCTTGCCTGTCTTTACATCCCTTTCCCTCCTTTGTGCATCTCTGCTTTCATCTAGTATTTTAAGATGCCTGTCACTGACTCCTGGGTAATAATAATGGCTAACATCGCCTACTCCCACACTGTCCTTGTGCTGATCGTCAACACTTTCTTCAGATCTCTCTGAAGATTTTCCTACATGTAAGTTATTTCCTTCCTCCTTAGACTCTACATGCAAGTCATTTCCTTCCTCCTTAGGCTCTACATGCAAGTCATTTCCTTCCTCCTTAGACTCTACATGTAAGTCATTTCCTTCCTCCTTAGACTCTACATGCAAGTCATTTCCTTCCTCCTTAGACTCTACATGCAAGTCATTTCCTTCCTCCTTAGACTCTACATGTAAGTCATTTCCTTCCTCCTTAGACTCTACATGCAAGTCATTTCCTTCCTCCTTAGACTCTACATGCAAGTCATTTCCTTCCTCCTTAGACTCTACATTAGAGATGTCAGGTGATAGCCCTGATTTTCTAGACTTCACTCTGTCTTTGTCTTTAAACCCTGTTCCTTCATCTCTGTAGATGAAAGCAGTGGCTGCAGGGTCTTTGCTCTCTTCTGCTGTCCCCTCGTCCTCCTCTCTCTCTCTCCTCTCAGCTGGACTCTGGTCCTGGGTCTCCCAGGTAGAGAGTGGAGAGCCTCCAGGAGTAGACTCCTCTCTGAAGTCCTGAGTACCTGCAGCAGACACTGGAAGAAAAGTGTAAATTAGTTTAGGTGACAAATCTGAACAGTGCACATCAGTAAGCAATGAACATGTTTGCTATCTTACCTTTCTCTTTTCTGTAAAACAGAAGAGAAGCGCTGCTGGATCTAGTGAGAGGAATGTGGAAGAAAAGTCAGGTCAATATCAAATAAAAAAGTAAGCATATGCAAATATATGGCTTGTGTTTTACACAGGGGCTTTCTGTTGTGCAAAAAACATTTTTATTTTAGGTTTCTTTTTTTTTTAGCAGATACTGAAAATATATATATATATGTATTAAAATATATAGAGGAGTGCATTGGTGCCTGCATGTCGGTATGGATAAATGTCTGTGCGTGGATATATCTGTAGATATTTGGAGATACACTTGATATTCGTAAATTATATTGCTTTGTTGTTTTTACCCATCAGTAAGGGTGGAAATATGACAAACTGGGTTTGAGAGTGGGGAAAAAACTGCCGTTATGCTTAAGGAGTGTTTTCTGCATCAACCTGTGGCCATACAACAACAAAAAACGTACTTCTGAACTTTATCTGACTGGAATGGCTGGGAGTGAAGCTGTTGATAAAAACAAGAACCAAACATAAAATGAAGAATTTGGTTTTTCAGACTGTTATATGTAAGTCTTGACACCATTGAAGTTAAAGTGATCGCTCTTACCAGCGTGACCCAGCTATCATTGAAGCTGTACCATCTCCCATCATGCTCAGATTTGATTGTGGCAATGTGATGTCCACTTCTGAGATCTCCAGAATGTTCCACCATCGCATACAGTTCATAGGTCTGATTCTGATCACCAGTGGAAAACATATCACATCAGGAATAACAAATAAATGTGTCGCAAAATATTAAAATATAGTGTAAACAAACATACCTCTGGTATCTGTAGGGTGCAGGGAACGTCCACAGTGCAGTTGATTTTGACATATCTCTTGGAATAGTCAAACTCAAACCTCTTCAGCAGCAGTGTCAAAACCTCCGGATGATGCTTTATTACACATTTCTGGAAGAAAAGAAACAGGTCCCCAACATGTATTATCATGTTGTTATAACCCAGTGTAATGTAATGTGAGTTCATGTACACATTACTCACAGTAGTGGCATCAGACTTGGCTCTACACAGGTCGCAGTACATCTGGTTTCCTCCGTTCAAATGTGAAGCTCTGAAAAACTCCTCAATGCCTTTCTCCTAATAACAAGCACTCATGTCATTTGTGTCTGAAACCAGCTCTGTTACAGAATTCCTTATCAGCTTAATGGGTTTACAGTTTTTGATATATCACAAAACAATCTGATGGAAAATAGCATATTAGGTTAATTCCTGGCAACAGAAAAGTGCTTTAAAGTGTGCAGGTTGTCAGATTCTTACCACGCTAAAGTTCTGACTGGAGGAATCCTCCAATGCAAGAGGGAGATGCCAAAAAGCCTTATCAGCATCAGTCTTGGTATCACAGGATAAACATGTGGTCATGTGTGTCAGCTGTCCGTGGAATATCTGAAAGCCCAAAATGCAGACACTGCTAAACAAATATCTTTCATTAGACACACTCCCTTTAACATGAATGATCTTTACCTTTGATGCGTCATCACTGGTCAGACGCAAGATCTTCTCATAGTACTCAGCAGCATCCTGCTGTTTACTCACTAAGTGGGGAAGAGCAGAAAGCTGTGTGTATTTCTTTGGACAAAACAAGGGGTTAAAGGACCATATATAGACTGATATTCTCTCTCAGCGGAGCTTATTATTTTAGCAGACTACTATGTAAATCTTAACTGATCAAATTTCCCAAATTCTGTGTTTGGTTCAAAGGTGGCTTCTTCAAAGGCTCTGAGTCTCTACTACACTGTACCGTCTTTGATGCCCAGCTTCTTGGTGATGTCTTTGGTTTTTGCTGTACGTCTTTTTAAGACACCAAACAGGGATTGAAGTTGAAGATCAATATGCTCAGTATTTTCACTGGGGAGCCTGCACAAAGTTAAGAAATATCGGTGAAGAGATACAAAAGTGAATTGTGTAATCTCAATCCATTTTAAAAGCATTATACGGCATTAAGTTGGACTTTGTAACAAACCTTTCCACAGCTTCTCTGAAGTCTTTGGTCATAAAAAGCACCTGCAGCACACTGTTCAGGTAACATGTTGACCCTTGGTTTTCCAAGCCATGGTACTTAATGGCTGTTGGAGGAAGATGCAAATTACGCTATGAATGTAAATTGTATGTCTATAAACAAACGCTGCATAATAAATCTGAACAGTGCACATCAGTAAGCATAATGAACATGTTTGCTATCTTACCTTTTCTGTAAAACAGAAGATAAGCGCTGCTGGATCTAGAGAGAGGAATGTGGAAGAAAAGTCAGGTCGATATCAAATAAAAAAGTATGCATATGCAAATATATGGCTTGCGTTTACACAGGGGCTTTCTGTTGTGCAAAAAACATTTTTATTTTAGGTTTCTTTTTTTTAGCAGATACTGAAAATATATACATACAAATATTAAAATATATAAAGGAGTGCATTGGTGCATGCATGTCTGTATGGATAAATGTCTGTGCGTGGATATATCTGTAGATATTTGGAGATACACTTGATATTCGTAAATTATATTGCTTTTTTATTGTTTTTACCCATCACTAAGGGTGGAAATATGACAAATTGGGTTTGAGAGTGGGGGGAAAAATCTACAGTTAGGCTTAAGGAGGACTTATTTGCATCAACCTGTGGCCATACAAAAACAAAAAACGTACTTCTCAACTTTATCCGACTGGAATGGCTGGGAGTCAAGCTGTTGATAAAAACAATAACCAAACATAAAATGATGAATTTGGTTTTTCAGACCCTTATATGTAAGTCTTGACACCATTGAAGTTAAAGTGATCACTCTTACCAGCGTGACACATCTATCATTGAAGCTGTACCATCTCCCATCATGCTCAGATTTGATTGTGGCACTGTGATGTCCACTACTGAGATCTCCAGAATGTTCCACCATCGCATACAGTTCATAGGGCTGATTCTGATCACCAGTGGAAAACATGACAGACATCAGAATCAGGAAAGAAATATGTCATGATGAAAAAGTAAAATATAAACATACCTCTGGTATCTGTAGGGTGCAGGGAACGTCCACAGTGCAGTTGATTTTGACATATCTATTGTAATAGTGGTCAAACTCAAACCTCTTCAGCAGCAGTGTCAAAACCTCCGGATGATGCTTTATTACACATTTCTGGAAGAAAAGAAACAGGTCCCCAACATGTCTTATCAAGATGTTATAACACCATGAACTCTGTATGTACACTGTAATGTGATCTAAATAAATTAAAAAACAAGTCGTTATTATTACTCACAGTAGTGGCATCAGACTTGTCATCACATTTCTCGCAGTACATCTGGTTTTCTCCGTTGAGAGACGATTCTCTGAAATACTCCTCAATGCCTTTCTCCTAATAACAAGCACTCATGTCATTTGTGTCTGAAATCAGCTCTGTTACAGAATTCCTTATCAGCTTCATGGGTTTACAGTTTTTGATATATCACAAAACAATCTGATGGAAAATAGCATATTAGGTTAATTCCTGGCAACAGAAAAGTGCTTTAAAGTGTGCAGGTTGTCAGATTCTTACCACTCTATAGTTCTGACTGGAGGAATCCTCCAATGCAAGAGGGAGATGCCAAAAAGACTCATCAGCATCAGTCCTGGTACCACAGGATGAACATCTGGTCATGTGTGTCAGCTGTCCGTGGAATATCTGAAAGCCCAAAATGCAGACACTGCTAAACAAATATCTTTCATTAGACACACTCCCTTTAACATTAATGATCTTTACCTTTGATGCGTCATCACTGGTCAGACGCAAGATCTTCTCATAGTACTCAGCAGCATCCTGCTGTTTACACACTAAGTGGGGAAGAGCAGAAAGCAGTGTGTATTTGTTTGGACAAAACAAGGGGTTAAAGGACCATATATAGACTGATATTCTCTCTCAGCGGAGCTTATTATTTTAGCAGACTGCCATGTAAATCTTAACTGATCAAATTTCCCAAATTCTGTGTTTGGTTCAAAGGTGGCTTCTTCAAAGGCTCTGAGTCTCTACTACACTGTACCTTCTTGGATGCGCAGCTTCTTGGTGATGTCTTTGGTTTTTGCTGTACGACTTTTTAAGACACCAAACAGGGATTGAAGATGAAGATCAATATGCTCAGTATTTTCACTGGGGAGCCTGCACAAAGTTAAGAAATATCGGTGAAGAGACACCAAAGGGAATTGTATAATCTCAATCCATTTTAAAAGCATTATACGGCATTAAGTTGGACTTTGTAACAAACCTTTCCACAGCTTCTCTGAAGTCTTTGGTCATAAAAAGCACCTGCAGCACACTGTTCAGGTTACATGTTGACCCTTGGTTTTCCAAGCCATGGTACTTAATGGCTATTGGAGGAAAATGCAAATTACGCTATGAATGTAAATTGTAAGTTTATAAACAAACGGCACATAGCCTATATCTTACCAGGAGTGGACCACATGCTGGAGACAAACTGCCGACCGGATTTATATAAATCCATGTTGATTCCTTTTTGACGATCGTATCAGTCCACTCATACACTGCCAGCTGCAAACCATTTGACAATTAACTGTTGACAATTAATCAAACACAACTGTTTCATTGAGGAACACAAAGCAGAAAATAATGAGCCTACCTGCAGACATTCCCTCAGACAAAAT